TTTGTTTACTCGCTTTCAGTAGTTTATAACTGTGTTAACACAAGAATTGTAGTTGTAACTGCATACTGTTCCCACAACAACTGTTACAACTTCGGTTAACAGACTATCATAGGCATTTAAAATCAACAGTCTATATATGCTTCCATTTTCTTATCTAGCAAATAATATTGTTACGTTTCAATAACTAAATTGAACCCATTAAATTGACATCTATGGTAACGAAAATAAGATGAAGATTAATTTATTTAGTCTTTTCGAACTCAAATGTTAATTAATAACAATTAGGAACTCAATCACAGTTAATAAATATAATACATAATATATTAAACAAATATAATAAAGTCCAAACACTCAGAATATGTCCCCATCCACACATATTAGACTTATATTGTGACTTCTATATCTTTATTTTCCTACTAACAAATGTTAGCTAATGCAATCCACGTCATGTATCCATACTACAATTTTTAAAAAAATAATAATTATAATAATAATAATAATAAATAAATAAATAAATACTAAAAAATAATAAATAAAAATATTCTAACCTGTCAAATAGTCTTCGCAGTCTGAGACTCTCCAGTAGTCTCGCTGGTCTGTGGTGTACGGAAGATCACGTACACTACAATCTGGCCTATACCTAAAACTAATAGGATAATGTTCGGAATCTGTATTAAAGAAAAAACAAGTTTTATTAGAAATCAATTACTAATTATTTAGTTTTTAATTAGATGTAATGTTGATTAGGATTTACATACCCAGATATTGACATCTTCTTTGGCAAAGCCATATATGCCCAAATGACAGCATTAGCTGTTAGGACGCATGTCAGTGTGATAGGTATTTCTGCACACTGCGTGTCCTAACATCTCTAACCTATTATATAAAAAATTGGTATATAAAAAAAAAGTATATAAATTAAATTAAATTAAGTTTAAACTTACTAACTCTATTTAATATTAATCTTAACACGATGCCTATAGTCTATGAATAGACTAAGATGGATGATCCAAAGAATATCCACCCAACGACCATAATCCTCAAGTCACCTTTCACGTAAAATACACGACAAAGGTGATAGTGCAAAATAATCCAAAGAGAATACCTGAGACAGTGATAGTAATTAAAATCTACAAAATCATTTTTTTTAACTATTAGTGATGTCTTAAATAAATATTATTTTTAATAGTTTTGTAACTATTATGAATAATTTGGAAACCTACTTTATCATAGTTCCCTGAGTAGTAGAAAAATATGACGACGTACGCCATCTCGATAATGCAGCCAGTGTTGTTAATGATTACTAGTGTGATTGCATTTGACCTAATCCCACCGTAATAGAGCCAGATGGCCGATGGAAATAGGGCAACGGTGTATGGAATCACCGTGTACCCTACCGTCGACTTCACGTCACAGATTTTGCTAATTGTATACCTACAAAAATTTGTAACTAACTTTTAGCTTTTTATTTATTTATTTATTATTGGTTAAATATGATCAAAATAAATATTTTGTTGTAAGGATTAAAATGCAAACTTTTTTTGTGTGGGAGGTAATGTTTTTATATTACTTTATGTTAAGGATATACTTTATTAATTATATTGGCTCACATAGATAAATGTATGTCTATTTCGGCATAAACAGACTAAGTCGTACCAAATTGAATTTAATTTTATGGCTTTTCTGAACCATAGGTTATATGTCCAATTTAAAAAAAAAATGACAAAATTTCCTTTTTTGTTTTGGAAGTGTACTTTTTTTTTTCATACTTCCATTTCGTTTCTAATTCGAAACTCTCGGGATCTAAATATTTCACCCGTGCATCTTTGAAAATTATATAGAAAAGGTACGAAACAATAGGATTACATAATAATGCTAAGATTATAATTAGAGATTTTGGGAATAATTCAGAAATATTGGAAAATTATTTCAGAATATATGGGAATTAAAAATATAATTCCGGTCCCAATCAAAAACAAAAATTGGAATTTTTCACCAGCGATTCTTCGAAAATGATATAGAAAATGTACAATATTGTCAAAACAATAGA